TGTTGTTGCCCCTCCCATATCCACTCCGGCATCTAATCCTTTTGCTGTCCTTGGCTCTGACGTCCCGACTACAACTCAGTCTGTTCTCACATCTTCGCGTCCTTCCTCACAAGCCCCAGTATCGACAAGACCCCGTACGACACCTTATACCAATCACCCCTCTATTTCTCAGAAGTCCAAAAAATCCCCAGTGCTCAAATCTTCTTTGCCCCTTCCTTCCCTTCTTCCACCTCCGCACTTTACCTTTCCAGTCTCTGTGTCTAGTTCTTCCCCTCTCTCTGGCTCTATTACAAGTATGGAGGTTCACCCTCCTCCTCGTACTATACGTTCCACCCCCGTCCCCTCCCAAGTTTCCCCCTCTTCTGCCACCTCCCAGGATTCTGCCTCTTCTGTCCCCTCCCACACTTCTTCTACAGTTCCCTACACTCTTTCGTCCCCCTCTACTTTGGTACAGTCCATTACTGTCCCAATCTTTACTCACCCTCCTCCTTCTACCTCCAATATTGTCTCCCATACATCTTTGAATTCAGAAAACCTTGAAGCCATTTCAGAATATATTGCAGAGACTAAACCTTCAATGGACACTGATCCACCTCCTACTCCCTCTCTTCCCTCTCCACAACTCCATTCTTCGCAACGCTCCGTTCCTTCGCTACTTGAACGTCTTCCAATGCCACCACACGTTGGCTTTTCTAACCCCTCTAGTCCGTAGGTGCCCTTCCCTACGGATTCCTGGTATTTTCTTTATTGCCAATCATGGCCTATTTACAGTGGAATATCCGCAGCCTCAGGGGCAATCGGGGTGAGCTTCAGATGTTGCTTTCCAGGTTTTCCCCTGTTGGTGCTTGCTTACAAGAACCAAAATTACACTCAGCTGTTTTCCAACCTATCTCAGGCTATAATTTATTGTATTCTTCGGATCCTTTCTCAGATGGGACCTTTAATGAAAGTGCCCTTCTTCTACGCAATGATATTCTGTACTGTCAACTATTTGTCCATACCTCGCTGCATTACACTGCAGCCTGTATCCACTTGACTAAGTGGTTTACAATATGTTCTTTATATCTCTCTCCTTCTCGAGCATTTTCTATCCCAGATTTTGCCTTTCTAGTTTCATCCTTACCACCACCACTTCTGTTACTTGGTGATTTTAACGCCCACCATTTCCTCTGGGGGGGTTTCATTGTGACTCACGAGGCATCCAGTTGGAGGCTTTTCTCGCCTCTCACCCCCTCCATGTTTTAAATACGGGTACTCCCACCCATTTTGATCCTCGTACTCATACTCTCTCTTGCATTGATCTATCAGTCTGCTCTTCCTCCACTGCACTAGACTTCACCTGGTCTGTTCTACCGGACTTACATGACAGCGATCATTTTTCAATCATTCTTACTTCTCCTTCCTATTCACCACCTTTCCGTAGCCCTCGCTGGCAATTTGATCGGGCAAATTGGGATCTTTACTCGCAACTCACTGCTTTTAGTGAGGTTCCTTCTTCATCCTCCATTGATGAGCTCCTACACCTCTTCTCGACGTCAGTTTATACCACAGCTTCTCATTCTATACCCCAAACCTCAGGCAGGCATTCTCAGAAGTGCGTGCCTTGGTGGTCTCCTGCTTGTGCTCGTGCAGTACGTTTGAAATGCGCTGCATGGGGCAGGTACCGGTACAATAGAACCGCCGAGAGACTTCTTGATTTTAAGCAGAAGCGTGCGATCGCTCGCCGTGTCATCCGTGAAGCTAAACGCACTTGCTGGCGAGACTATGTCTCCACCATCACCTCTGCTTCTTCTATGAGTGCAGTCTGGAAAATTATTATTATTATAATCAAGGGGGAAGCGCTAAACCCGGAGGATTATACAGCACAGTCTGGAAAAAAGTAAGGAAATTGAGTGGTAAATACTCTCCTGACCCGGCTCCTGTTCTACGGGTTCGCTGGTGTTGATGTAGCAAACCCTTTCGACGTTGCCATTGAACTTCACACACACCTGGTCCGTATTTCCCGGGGGCTCCATCTATGCCCCTCGTTTCTTTCCTCAAAGTCTGCCAGAGAGTTAGTACCCTTGGACTTTTCTTCTCTCAGAGAAGAACAGTATAATTTGCCTTTTACACTTCAAGAACTGGAGGCAACGCTCTCAGCTTGCCGATCATCGGCAGCTGGGCCTGACGACATTCATATTCGTATGTTACAACATTTACATCGGTCAGCCCTTGTAGTTCTCTTACACCTCTTCAATCTTATTTGGGCACAAGGAGTTCTTCCCCAGCTGTGGAAATCTGCCATTGTTCTCCCTTTCTGCATACCGGGTACTACAGGACATGATGCCTCCCACTATCGTCCCATCGCTCTTACTAGTGCAGTTTGCAAAGTGATGGAACGTCTCGTAAATCGACGTTTAATGTGGTATTTAGAGACACACAACAGTCTCTCTGCTAGTCAATATGGCTTTCGTAAGGGCCGTTCTACCATAGACCCCTTACTACGCTTGGATACGTATGTTCGTAATGCCCTTGCGAATAATCACTTAGTTATTGCCATATTTTTTGACCTTGAGAAGGCATATGACACAACTTGGAGGTATAATATTTTGGCCCAGGCCCACTCCTTAGGCCTCCGAGGCAATCTACCATCCTTCCTTAAGAACTTTTTAACTGACAGACATTTCCGTGTTCGAGTCAATAATGTGCTTTCCCCGGACTTAGTCCAAGCTGAAGGTGTCCCTCAGAGATGAGTTCTAAGCACAACACTTTTTCTCCTTGCTATAAATGATTTGGCCTCTGTTCTTCCACCCAATATTTGGTCATCACTCTATGTTGATGACTTCGCTATTGCTTGTGCAGGCGCTGACTGTCATCTCATTGCAGTTTCTCTCCATCATGCGGTCAACCGTGTTTCCACTTGGGCCACCACGCATGGGTTTAAATTTTCAAGTACCAAAACTCACCAAATTACTTTCACTAGACGCTCTATCATCTCCAATCATCCTTTGTATCTCTATGGCTCCCGTATCCCCGAACGTGATAGTCAGGTTTCTAGGCCTTCTCTTTGACCGTAGGTTATCCTGGGAACCTCACATTACCTCTCTGAAGGCAACTTGTCACAGCCGGCTAAACCTTCTTAAAACCCTTGCTCATCTTTCCTGGGGAGCTGATCATCAAACTCTGCTTCGCCTACATTCAGCCCTCGTTTTATCGAAACTCGATTATGGTGACCAGATTTATTCAGCGGCCTCTCCTGCTACTCTCTCTAGCCTTAACCCCATCCATCACCAAGGATTACATTTGTGCCTTGGTGCTTTTCGCTCTTCCCCTGTTGAGAGCCTCTATGCAGAAGCGAATGTTCCATCCTTGTCTGATCGCCATGATGCCCATTGCCTTCGCTACTATGTATGCTCTCACGATCTCCACAATCCTTCCATTTATAGAATTATTTTTATTATAATCAAAAAGAAGCGCTAAGCCATCCATTTATAGAATGGTCACCGATATTAGTAGACATTCTTTATTCGTTCGCCGCCCATTTGCTCCGTCCCTTTTCTCTTCGCCTACATTCACTCGTCTTCCCTTCAGTTACCACCTTTATATGTTCATGTAGCATCTCACTTTTCCCTACCCCCCTGGGAAGTTCCAGCTGTTCGGGTCTGTTCTCACTCCCTTGCTCGAAAGCTCAACTGCCTACGGTGGCTTCCCGCTCTCTTTTTCTTGATTACTTCCACTCCCATTCTCATGCCATCGCTGTGTACACAGATGGCTCTAAGTCTTCATACGGCGTCGGATTCGCAGCAGTGTTTCCGGACAGCGTCGTGCGGGGGCATTTACTATCTTCGGCTAGCATTTTTACTGCTGAATTGTATGCCATTCTTGCAGCACTTATTCGTATCGCATCTATGCCTGTGTCATCATTTGTGGTAGTCTGACTCCCTTAGTGCTCTACAGGCTATACGAAAATTTGATACATCTCACCCCCTAGTTCTCCGTATCCAACTTTGGCTACGCCGTATCTCTACCAAGCATAAAGATATTATTTTTTGTTGGGTCCCTGGTCATGTCGACGTACAGGGCAATGAACAGGCAGACACTGCGGCGCGGTCAGCAGTACATGACCTACCAATTTCCTATAGTGGTGTTCCATTTCTGGACTATTTTGCTGCAATAGCTACCCACCTTCACGCCCATTGGCAACAATGTTGGTCAACTCTGCTTGGTAACAAACTTCATTCTATTTAACCGAGCATAGGTTACTGGCCGTCTTCTTGTCATCAGTGCCGTGGTTGGGAGACCACTCTCTCCCGCCTTCGCATTGGCCACACTCTTCTTACTCACGGGTATCTCATGGAGAGGCGCCCTGTTCCTCTCTGTGAGCAGTGTCAAGTTCCAATATCGATTAGCCACATTGTTAGACTGCCCTCTATCAACGAGCATGCAGAATTTACCTCCAACGTAGTCTTCGTTCTACTACTCTCTCTTTACCTTCCCTTCTTGCTGATGGACCCTCCTTTAATCCTCTCTCATTGACTTCTTGACAATGACTGATTTACTCCACAAACTCTGATGATACCTTACGCACTCCCCTCAGCCCTTTCTAGCTCAGTCTCTCGTTGCCCTTTACCCTTTCACCATCCACTGCCCCGCTGTTATCTGTAACCTGTTACTCGTCCACCTCCCTTTTGCCACCTGATGCCCTCGCTTCCTTCCTGCCCTGCAGCGCTTTATAGCCCTTGTGGCTTAGCGCTTTTTTATAATAATAATAAACAGCACCTGCAAACTAGATTCTTGTTTGATTCAAGGAAGAGGAGGCAAAATTTAATTTTGATCAAGCACTGCTCACTAGCATCCAGGAACTGCCCTTGAGGGGCAGAGAAAAAAAAAGGCCTTTGTCCCAGCTCTCAAGAATGAGGCACACGAGCAATTTTGTCGATGACCCAAGCAGTACAGGTGAACCTAACTAGCATAGCTTTTCTGGGAAGGATTTAAGTTACATTTGTAAAAATACAAATAAAAACACATCATGTTCTTTATTTCCACGACTAAATGAACATTTTAAAACAATCTTCATGAGTCATTAATGAAGTTGTCACAAGCTTTAAACTATAAATACCCATAAAAAAATTGCTTATACACAATTCCAAGGTTTCCATGAGCTAGTTAACATTTTACAGAAGTGTCACATGGTCACTATTCACATAGTGAATAGTGACAACTTGTGAAACACTGATGATGCCAATAACACTTGAGAAAAACACTTTACATATAGTGCCCAAACACAAGAAAATAGGACCACCATCAGTCATAACAGAAATGTCTAGTTAACCCATGGTCATGAACCTGATAATTACAGCATACAAGTAATTAAATAGTTACAAAGCCATTTACTATTTACATAAATCACAAAAAAGAGGAATGTTTTATATGGGATTACATGTACTGACACTACATGTTGAGTAACTTGGCTAGCAGTCCTGAAGCAGCGCACTTCATCAACTTAAAACACGATCAACTTAAGCCATTGCATGAAATTTTCTGTACCTTCAAAAAAAAAAAAAAAAAATGGAACTTATCAAACTATACAATATCTGGAGGTTTACTTAAGTTAGTGGTAGTTATTATTCACCCACATATGCAAATAATTTTATTACTACTTTCACTGAATTTTGCACAATAGCCAGCAATTTTAACGTCATTCCTCGATGCAGGAAAAAACTATATGCTTAGTTGTCAAACTTGCGGTTAGGGTTTGAACCAAAGAGTATTGCTCGGATTTCTGGAAGCAACTGTTGTGACAACATTTCAAGACGTGCCTCAAGGGTGTTGGAGATCTTAATACGATTGCCACGGGTCACCAGCTCAATACCTCCACAGCTGTTGAAATAAAATTAAATATGAAGATGGAATGATATAATACCTTAATAACACTGATTTAATATCAAGGGCAGGATAGACTTGTCAGCATTAAAGCTGTGTAATTATTTAAATTACCCAATTACAACTTTAAGCCCATGTAATTTTCAATTAAATTAAAATATGGTATGTAAATATGTAAAACTATTTTTACAAAGACAAAAACGTTAGTAGTAGTAGTAGTTTTATTTGGCATCACCCAGCACTGGTGGTTGTTGGGGTTTATAGGGCCACTGATGCAAAATAATTACCCAGCATTGTTTGCTAATGACAAATGTGAAAAAAAAAAAATAATCAGGACTTACATTTCAGCAGGGAGCCAATTTGCAGTGTCAATTTCCAATTTAGCATCTCTTCCAGAGTGGTATTTGTATGAATCAAGAGCTCTTACAATGGCCTGCTCAACGAGGGCCTGGTCAACTCGTCGACACCGCACCATCAGATGGGGCTCCAACAACTGAAATTTATTATTATTAGATCAACATTTATTCTACACCGAATAATTATCAATTACAATAGTTATTGTACTATACTTCTATATTAAAAGAAAACTCCTGTACCGCATTTTATTGACATTCTTTATACTGTATTAACAAGGCGTTACTTTTATCTATCGTTTCACACCAATTCTATCCACCCATCAAGTTAGATCAAAATAACTACATACTTTTTTATGTAAATTCACATTATACAGGTTCCCACTACTTGTTAAAAATTTATAAAAATAAATACTTTATTTTTATCCATGCAGACAGCTGCATTCTCTTTATTCTTATGTTGTATTATCACTGATAAAAAAATTACTAAAGAAAATACATATACAGAGATTTAACATTACAAATATTTTACATTAATGCTAAGCATCCTAACAACTCACTGAAAAAGAATCTTAAATACATTAAGGTAACAAATTCATTTTGTTATGCAGCAGTTATCACCAATCACATGACTGATCAAAGACTGAGCTGCAATTAGCAGCCTTAGCTATTCAAGCCAAATAACCCTTATGGGTTTAGTGTTTCAATTATAAATACATAACTATTTAAAAAAAAAAGTTTTTATACAAAAAAATATTAAGAATGAAGATGAGAATTACAATAATTGTTACAATCATGGGGTAGCGCTAAACCCGTAGGATTATACAGCGCATGGGGGGGGAAGTGATGGAAGGTATTCAGGCTCAATTCAGGGAACCGGAGCACAGATCCAATTCCCTAGATCAAGAGCCCCTCACCAGCGCCAAGGAACCTCCCCTGAGGGGTTGAAGATGAGAAACATATAGGAGTGAGGAAGAGGGTGTATATGGGAACACACGGTAGCGAGAAAGCTGACTGCGTGTGTACACTTCATTATCATTGAAAAGGGGGGGGGGGATATCTGTGAAGTGTAGGAACAAGACAAAAGTATTCTTAAGGCAATGAGAAAGCACTTCAAGTGGAGTATTTAGTACAGTATAGCGACATACCTGACACAATCCCTGACAGAGGAGGTCCTCCAACAGTTTGCTATATGCTGCTTTATCCTGAGAAATGATATTCAGCTTCTGTTGTGCTTCATGAAGGACATTTTTAATATGAGATTCCTGGGCTTTCAGCACTTCTAACCTTGACTTGTTCAATAAGTTGCTGGCACCACTGATGGGGTAAAACATTGTTAATATGAACATCACGAATTAGAGCTAATTATAATTTCTTTCAACACACCAATGTATACAACATCAGGCAATAAAATAGTAATATGTCAAATATAAATCCATCATGAATTATTTTATTTTTTCAAACAATGAACTGTACCTCAAGCTTACATCTTTTTCTGAAGCTCAACCTGCTTCTCCTTACGCTCATAAAACTCAATTATCTTCAGACGATTCTGCTGCACCAGCCGACCCTTTTCAATAGTAAATTCTTCTTCTGCCCGGGCATCAATTTCTTCAGCTTTCTCATTGGCCTCTTGTTCAATGAAGGCCATCATATGATGGATCTGGTGGAAAATTATTTCTGGTCACAAGAGCTGTACAGACACAGTAATGGGAAAAGTGAAGATGTTGGAGAGCGAAATAGTTACTTACCTTCTAATAGCCAGGAAAGAAAGTATCTCACAAAAAGTGTATCTTATATTGAGAGAATGTCAAGTGTTAGTATTGCATTTCATGCTGTTGTACATGTGTTCAGTTACCTGTTGTAATGCCAGTGTGAAGACTAATGCATAAACCGTTTCGGTGCAAACACAAGAAAATACGCTCCTCCCTCACGGCTCAAGTTCAGTATATAGTGGACCCCCGGTTTACGATATTTCATTCCAGAAGTATGTTCAGGTGCCAGTACTGAACGAATTTGTTCCCATAATAAATATTGTGAATTAGATTAGTCCATTTCAGACCCCCAAACATACACGTACAAACACACTTACATAAATACACTTACATAATTGGTCGCACTGGGAGCTGATCATAAAGCGGGGGTCCACTGTATATAGTAGAGTTATTGGCAGGTGCTTATACTAGTTTAATTTTTGGAGTTGCAGAGTATTAGTATTGGTTACCAAGAATATTACTCGTTTAGGTGTATTTATATACATATGTATTAAGTATATAAAGTTTTAAATATAAAAAAAAAAAAACTGAAAAAGGGTCAAGAAAAAGGCTGACACTTTTCTACAGGAGAATTAAATATTCATGGAAAGTTGAAGGAGAAAGTTTCTTTACACTTGGTCACATAGAAGTAATAAATACTCTTGAAATAAATTAATTGCAATGATTATCAACATATTAATTAGGTTAGCCTAAGTAAATTATTATAATCAGAAGCAAGCGCTAAACCCTAGCCGAAATAAAATACAAGCTCCTGTATGTAGTTAAATTTTTCACAAATATGATTGAAATTTGAACAGCACGTACTATGGTGGCATTACCATTTACTAATAAATTTCGGATACTTTTTCCAATTGCATTTACGAGAATTTACACTATAAAGGAACTTTATATGAGAGCTCTGGTTTCCCTTCCTCGGACACTGTTATACCTCATCACTCCTATAATATTCCACATTCCTGGAAACCTTATGGTGCTGGCGACGCCATAACTCACCTGTTTTTGGACATCGGCATCGCTGAGCGCCATGGTAGCAGTTTTTTGTGAGGAGAGCAGCAGAGAGTGAGAGGCAGAGTGTCAGGTGTCAACGACGGTCGATCCGGCAGACAACAATCATATGATGACAACACCAGAAAACCTTTCAGTCACATAAATTAAAAAATAAATAAAAAATGTATTGTCTTTACATGCATATTTAAAGAATAATTTATTAAAGGTATCATAATCCTAAATTTACAATATTTTGTAAAGTTTTTAAATATATTTAGTTATTATAATGCGAGTAATATAGTCTCTCGCATCACGAGACTTTCCTCTTAGTACTTGATTCCTTCATAAGGTTTACAATATTATTTATTAACTAACTCAGACAGCATCAGATTCCTCTCTGTTTAATTAAAATTACAACACTTGGGAAATTCTTTTTGAAATGCTTACTTCAGTTTGGTGCATCTCTTTTAAATATAACAATATTGGCAACTGTAAAAAATATTTTAACGTTTATGGGAAGGAGATGCTGGGGACGAGTCGCTGTATAGCCCTTGTGGCTTAGCGCTTCTTTTTGATTATAATAATGGGGACGAGTCCTACATAACTCAAAAATATCACACTTGTTTGTGACTTGATAAAGCCCACCGTGTGGGCGAAACGTTGTCAATAAAGGATAACATTATACTGCTTGATACCATTTATTTCCATTATACTGTTTAAGTGTTTATATTTCCATATCACAATTACACACAAATAACCTGGAGGGGGGTCACCGCCCCCACGGCCATCTTCGTGACCAGGCCTCGTGCTGGCCTATTTTCTATACTCGACTGAAGAAGCCTACTGTGTAGGCGAAAAGTTTCGGAATAAAGTTGCCTAACTGTTGTCTATGTGTCTTACCTACCACAAAAGTATAAGGAAAGGAGAAGTTTGAGGTAATCAGTCCCTCAGTCATCAAGACTGATGGACTGAACACATTAAGAACATAAGAAGAACATAAGAACGAAGGAACACTGCAGAAGGCCTACTGGCCCATGCGAGGCAGGTCCAAGTCTCCTACCGGCTTAAGCCAATGCACCCAACCTAGTCAGGTCAGGTCACATTGACTTAAGGGAGGAACACGGCAACCGACCTGTTAGCACAAGCTATCAGGTCTAACTCACACCCACCCACATCTACTCATGTATTTATCCAACCTATTTTTAAAGCTACACACAACGTTTCTGGCCTCTATAAACGGTTACTTGGGAGTTTGTTCCACTCATCCACAACTCTATTACCAAACCAGTACTTTCCTATATCCTTCCTGAATCTGAATTTTTCCAACTTAAAACCATTGCTGCGAGTCCTGTCTAGGCTAGATATTTTCAGCACACTATTTACATCCCTTTATTTATTCCTGTCTTCCATTTATACACCTCAATCATATCCCCCCTAATTCTACGTCTTCTAGAGAGTGCAGTTTCAGGGCCCTTAGTCTATCCTCAAGGAAGGTTTCTGATACATTGGATCATCTTTGTCATCCTCCTTTGTACATTTTCCAGAGAATTTATATCCATTCTGTAATACGGTGACCAAAACTGTGCAGCATAATCTAAATGAGGCCTAACCAGGATGTATAGAGTTGAAGAACAACCTGAGGACTCCTATTATTTATGCTTCTTGATATGAAGCCAAGGATTACTATTAGCTTATGCGAACACTATGCACTGTTGTCTTGGTTCAGATTACTGCTAACCAGAACTCCTAAATCTTTTTCGCAATCCGTAATATTAAGATCTACATTATTTAGTTTATATGTGGCATGGTTATTGTCCTGTCCAACATTTAGAACTTTGCATTTGTCTATATTAAACTGCATCTGCCACTTCTCCGACCACTGCATCAGTCTATTCAAATCTTCCTGGAGTGCTCGAATGTCCTCGTCAGAATGAATTCGAGCGGCCTATTTTGGTGTCATCGGCAAACTTGCCGATGTCGCTCTTTATGCCCTCATCTATGTCCGTTTATGTAGATTGTGAACAGCAGGGGGCCCAACACTGACCCTGTGGAACACCGCTCGTGACGCTTCCCCACTCTGATTTCTCCCCATTTATGCAAACTCTCTGCTGCCTATTTGTCAACCATGCCTCTATCCAGGAAAAAATTTTCTCCTCCTATTCCATGTGCTTTAATTTTCCTCAATAGTCTCTGATGTGGGACCCTGTCAAAAGCCTTACTGAAGTCCATATACACAATATCATATTCATTACCATGATCTACCTCCTCAAATACCTTAGTGAAAAAAGTTAATAAATTCGTAGGCAGGAACGCCCTTTGTAAAACCATGCTGAGATTCGTTGATTAATTTATGCTTTTCAAGATGGCTACGAACTGCCTCGGCAATTATTGATTCCATAAATTTTCCCACTATGGAGGTTAGGCTTATTGGTCTATAGTTCGAAGCTAAGGACCTGTCACCTGTTTGAAAATAGGTATCACATTTGCCATTTTCCACTTATCTGGCACCATGCCAGTTTGTAGTGATATGTTTGAAAAGATTAGCCAAAGGTGTGCTAAGCTCCTCTTTACATTCCTTTAGAACCCTTGCATACAGTTCATCAGGGCCTGGGGATTTGTTAGGTTTTAATTTATCTATTTGCCTAAGGACCATGTCACTTGTGACCCTAATAGTGCACAGTTTATTATCGTCCTGTTCTACATAATTTATCATTACTGGAATATCGCTGGTATCCTCCTGTGTAAAAACTGAGAGGAAGTATGTGTTAAAAATTCTACAACATTTCCTTATCACTGTCAGTGAGCTGACCCGAGGAACTTTTGAGTTGGCCTATCTTGTCCCTGATCTTACTTCTGTATACCTGAAAGAATCCTTTTGGTTAGTCTTCGATTCTTTTGCAACTTTTAACCTCATAATCTCTTTTTGCTTTTCTAATTCCCTTTTTTATTTCTCTCTTTAACTGAATATATCGATTTCTTAATTGCCCCTCTCCTCTTTTGATTGCCTATATATGCCTCTCTTTTGACCAATCAGATATTTTAATCTATTGTTCATCCATTTAGGATCATTTTTGTTTGATCTGATTTCCCTATTTGGAACATAATTTGACTGAGCAGCTAGAACTATGCCCTGGAAAGCATCATATCGGCAACCATCACCACCTACCTGACCCTTAGTCAGGTCATTCCAGTTCAGCCCACCTAAGTAATTTTTCAGTCCTATGAAATCAGCCAAGCGAAAGTCAGGGACGGAGACTTGATTGCCATTATTAGGGGAATTCCATGACATATTAAAACTGAGTGATTTGTGATCACTCTCCCCAAGCTCAAGATTGATGGACTGACCACATCTACTCAAGGTTGAGGGACTGATTACCTCATTCTCCTCCTGTTCTTCAAGATTCTCCTTTGTATGGACTGATGAAGCCACTGTGTGGCGAAACGTTTCCTCAATAAAGATACCCAAGAGTTGCACATGTGTCTAATTTATCAACATGTCGGTTCTCTGAACCATTCATCTACATTGATTCCAGGCTGAGGGACTGATTACCTCATCTTTTGTATATAGTTCTACTGTCTTTAAATTATATCCTTGAATCTGTATTGATAAAACCACTGGATGGCGAAACGTCTACAATAAAAATACCCAGATGTTGCACATGTCTAAATTTAACGGTTATATAAGGAATCCGGTTACTAAACTCAGATGTGGGTGAGGGCGTCTCGCCCTTGCTGGTGCTTGGCAGTAAGTAAGTCAGTAAATAAGTCAGTAAGTAAGTCAGTAAGTAAGTAAGCAAGTCAGTAAGTTTATTTAGGTATACACAAATACAATTGTATTAATAGGTAAGACACATATGCAACAGTTAGGTATCTTTATTTCGAAACGTTTCGCCTACACAGTAGGCTTCTTCAGTCGAGTACAGAAAAGTTGATAGAAGCAGAAGATACTTGAAGACGATGTAATCAGTCCATCACCCTTAAAGTTTTGAGGTGGTCAGTCCCTCAGTCTGGAGAAGAGCATTGTTCCGTTGTCTGAAACAATATGAAGTTGAAGTGACAGGATGGAGCCTTTTATAGTGCCAGGAGGTGAGACGTAGGTTGCGTTGGGAGGGCAGGTCCCTCTCAAACCCAGCCGTTCTCACTAGTAGAGATTGTCGAAGTTGATGGTCTGTACCAAGATACCCTTGTGTTGCAGTGTCTGACAGAATGAACATTAAAATGGTATAAAATACCGACAGATTGTTAAGGAAGACACATATGCAACAGTTAGGTATCTTTATTTCGAAACGTTTCGCCTACACAGTAGGCTTCTTCAGTCGAGTACAGAAATGTTGATAGAAGCAGAAGATACTTGAAGACGATGTAATCAGTCCATCACCCTTAAAGTTTTGAGGTGGTCAGTCCCTCAGTCTGGAGAAGAGCATTGTTCCGTTGTCTGAAACAATATGAAGTTGAAGTGACAGGATGGAGCCTTTATAGTGCCAGGAGGTGAGACGTAGGTTGCGTTGGGAGGGCAGGTCCCTCTCAAACCCAGCCGTTCTCACTAGTAGAGATTGTCGAAGTTGATGGTCTGTACCAAGATACCCTTGTGTTGCAGTGTCTGACAGAATGAACATTAAAATGGTATAAAATACCGACAGATTGTTAGGTAAGACACATATGCAACAGTTAGGTATCTTTATTTCGAAACGTTTCGCCTACACAGTAGGCTTCTTCAGTCGAGTACAGAAAAGTTGATAGAAGCAGAAGATACTTGAAGACGATGTAATCAGTCCATCACCCTTAAAGTTTTGAGGTGGTCAGTCCCTCAGTCTGGAGAAGAGCATTGTTCCGTTGTCTGAAGAAGCCTACTGTGTAGGCGAAACGTTTCGAAATAAAGATACCTAACTGTTGCATATGTGTCTTACCTAACAATCTGTCGGTATTTTATACCATTTTAATGTTCACAATTGTATTAATGTTGGTAGAATTACCAACAATATGCTCGGTAAAAGGACACAAATGCAACTAATGTGACATTTTACTATGGCAACGTTTCGCTCTCCAGGAGCTTTATCAAGCCGCTTGATAAAGCTCCTGGAGAGCGAAACGTTGCCTCAGTAAAATGTCACATTAGAACATAAGAAAGGAGGAACACTGCAATAGGCCTGTTGGCCCATACTAGGCAGGTCCTTCACAATCCATCCTACTAACAGAATATTTCCCCAGTCCAGTTTTCATTGCTACCCAAGCAGTGCTCCTTCCTTCTTATGTTCTTATCAGATTGATCAAGAAACACGACAGCTGTTTCCTGACGCTGGTCTTAGATGATAGGTAGGATAATTACCGCAAATAGTTACATAGATTATCATACATAGCAGCATAACCCAAAAAAGTTAGAGAAATTGACTTACTTCCATTGGTGGCTCACTTGATATAATTGGGAACATACAGTTTCTATTTATAAATGAACTTCTCTTCCTTTGTAGATGGGCTCGCTTCACACGGCGAGGGCCTGGGTTCGATTCCCAGCCAGAGTAGAAACATTGGACGTGTTTCTTTCCACCTGTTGTCTATGTTCCCCATCAGTAAAATGGGTACCTGGGTGTTAGTTGACTGGTGTGAACCATACCCCCGGCCGGGATTGAACCCACGGTCATAGAGTCTCAAAACTCCAGCCCGTCGCGTTAGCCACTAGACCAGCTAGCCACAATAAGATTCATCCAACTAGGTATATTTCTACACCATAGGAAAGTTAGCACAGGCACCTCTGTGACCACAAATGCAAGTTTGGTTTATTTGCAATCGTGTCATTACGATTTCTTGAGTCAGTCTTGACTGGTGTGGGTCGCATCCTGGGACACTGACCTAATTTGCCCGAAATGCGGAGCATAACAAGGGAGTTTCTATATAGTAGTATGTCATTGTTATCAGCTCGGACTGTATACCCTGTACATGTACTTTAGTAAAATAAAGATATTATTATTAATGGTTCAGAGAACCGACACGTTGATAAATTAGACACAGGTGCAACTCTTAGGTATGTTAGGTAAGACACATATGCAACAGTTAGGTATCTTTATTTCGAAACGTTTCGCCTACACAGTAGGCTTCTTCAGTCGAGTACAGAAAAGTTGATAGAAGCAGAAGATACATATGCAACAGTTAGGTATCTTTATTTCGAAACGTTTCGCCTACACAGTAGGCTTCTTCAGTCGAGTACAGAAAAGTTGATAGAAGCAGAAGATACTTGAAGACGATGTAATCAGTCCATCACCCTTAAAGTTTTGAGGTGGTCAGTCCCTCAGTCTGGAGAAGAGCATTGTTCCGTTGTCTGAAACAATATGAAGTTGAAGTGACAGAATGGGGCTTTATATAGTGCCAGGAGGTGAGACGTAGGTTTCTTTGGGAGGGCAGGTCCCTCTCAAACCCAGCCGTTCTCACCAGTAGAGGTTGTCGAAGTTGATGGTCTGTACCAAGATACCCTTGTGTTGCAGTGTCTGACAGAATGAACATTAAAATGGTATAAAAATACCGACAGATTGTTAGGTAAGACACATATGCAACAGTTAGGTATCTTTATTTCGAAACGTTTTCGCCTACACAGTGGGCTTCTTCAGTCGAGTACAGAAAAGTTGATAAAGCAGAAGATACTTGAAGACGATGTAATCAGTCCATCACCCTTAAAGTTTTGAGGTGGTCAGTCCCTCAGTCTGGAGAAGAGCATTGTTCCGTTGTCTGAAACAATATGAAGTTGAAGTGACAGAATGGGGCTTTATATAGTGCCAGGAGGTGAGACGTAGGTTGCTTTGGGAGGGCAGGTCCCTCTCAAACCCAGCCGTTCTCACCAGTAGAGGTTGTCGAAGTTGATGGTCTGTACCAAGATACCCTTGTGTTGCAGTGTCTGACAGAATGAACATTAAAATGGTATAAAATACCGATATCTATCAACTTTTCTGTACTCGACTGAAGAAGCCTACTGTGTAGGCGAAACGTTTCGAAATAAAGATACCTAACTGTTGCATATGTGTCTTACCTAACAATCTGTCGGTATTTTATACCATTTTAATGTTCAAGCAGAAGATACTTGAAGACGATGTAATCAGTCCATCACCCTTAAAGTTTTGAGGTGGTCAGTCCCTCAATCTGAGGGACGACCACCTCAAAACTTTAAGGGTGATGGACTGATTACATCGTCTTCAAGTATCTTCTGCTTCTATCAACTTTTCTGTACTCGACTGAAGAAGCCTACTGTGTAGGCGAAACGTTTCGGAATAAAGTTGCCTAACTGTTGCCTATGTGTCTTACCTACCAACCTGTCGGTATTGTATACCATTTTGGTGTCACATTTGTTCAATGTGGCACGACCTACTTCCACATTGGACAAATGTGACACCACCTACGACTGCTGCACCTCTCCTGCGTACGGTATATAAGCCACTTCTCCGCTCATATGCCGTATTCCATTCAAGATTGATGGACCGACCACATCGACTCAAGGTTGAAGGACTGATTACCTCATTCTCCTCCTGTTCTTCAAGTTTCTCCTATGTATGGACTAATGAAGCCACTGTGTGGCGAAACGTTTCATCAATAAATATACCAAAATGCTGCACACATGTGATCAACTTCAACTTCAAATTAGATAAATTTAGATTTAGAAAAGATATAGGAAAGTATTGGTTTGGAAATAGAGTAGTTGATGAGTGGAACAGTCTACCTAGTAGGGTTGTTGATGCTAGGACCTTGGGTAGTTCAAATTTAGGTTAGATGAATACATAATTGAGAGGGGTTGGATTTGAGTGGGACTTGCACATGAGTAAATAGAATTATCAAAGCTTATTTCTTAGACAGCATTGAAAATCGGGTTGGGCAAATATCCTATTAATAGGATGGATTATGATGGACGTGCCTAGTATGGGCCAACAGGCCTCCTGCAGTGTTCTGCCTGTCTTATATACCATTCGTACACAACTGTCTTACGCTGTTAAGCCGTCATTGGCCCTGATAAACCCCAACAAGAAGCAGCAGCAGCATCAGCAGTGCTGTCGTTACTTTCTTGTTAGACTTCTCTACAGTAAGTATTTTAACTATTCAACCTTTCAAGGGAGGTTCCTTGATGCTGGTGAGGGGCTCTTGATCTAGGTAATTGGATCTGTACTCCAGTTCCCTGAATTATGCCTGAATACCTTCCATTCCCCCTATTCATCACAATCCCTACAGGTTTGGCGCTCCGCCATAATATTAATAATAACTAGTAAGTTTATTTAGGTACATGTACGTAGATGAATGGTTCAGAGAACCGACACGTTGATAAATTAGACACATGTGCAACTCTTGGGTATCTTTACTGAGGAAACGTTTCGCCACACAGTGGCTTCATCAGTCCATACAAAGGAGAATTCAATTCAATTCAAAGTTTATTTTCTATAAGGATTACAATGCTGAGTTTACAGAATTTGGTTATTGTGTGGTTTACATGTAGTAAAATAAACTAGCCATAACTTGTCCTCAATAATTCTACCTCACTTTAAGAAATACTCAATTGCCCAATTTTATTCTAAAATCCCTATTATTGCCCAATTTTGCTGTAAACTATATTGATCAAACTTATTGTAAACTTCTTTTATTGACCATTATATTCTATACTTTTTTAAACTAGTATTTTCAACTACAACTTTTATGTGCAAGAAAGGTATAAAATACCGACAATATGAAAGTTAAGACACATGTGCAACATCTGGATATCTTTATTGTAGTAGACGTTTCGCCATCCAGTGGCTTTATCAATACAGATTCTAGGACATAATAGGAAGACAGTAGAACTATATACAAAAGATGAGGTAATCAGTCCCTCGGCCTTGGAGTTAGTGTTCACAGCATCGTGGTGGAGGAGAGTCTGGAGCAAAGGCAAGAAGACTGGCGCTTTTTATAGGCGTCAGTGAATGGGACGGGCAGCAGACGAGGGCAGTCACTGGTAGGCGGGATTCCCCAGTGGAAGTAGGTCCTTCCCAAAGAGATGGGTTAGTTGCAGCAGCCTTTGCTCCAGACTCTCCTCCACCACGATGCTGTGAACACTAACTCCAAGGCCGAGGGACTGATTACCTCATCTTTTGTATATAGTTCTACTGTCTTCCTATTATGTCCTAGAATCTGTATTGATAAAGCCACTGGATGGCGAAACGTCTACTACAATAAAGATATCCAGATGTTGCACATGTGTCTTAACTTTCATATTGTCGGTATTTTATACCTTTCTTGCACAACTTGTCAGACACTGCAACATCATGGAATCTTGGTTCAGAGGACATCTACAAGACCTTCTTCACGGCTGCTGCAACTAACCCATCTCTTTGGGAAGGACCTACTTCCACTGGGGAATCCCGCCTACCAGTGACTGCCCTCGTCTGCTGCCCGTCCCATTCACTGACGCCTATAAAAAGCGCCAGTCTTCTTGCCTTGGCTCCAGACTCTCCCCCCACCACGATGCTGTGAACACTAACTCCAAGGCCGAGGGACTGATTACCTCATCTTTTGTATATAGTTCTACTGTCTTCCTATTATGTCCTAGAATCTGTATTGATAAAACCACTGGATGGCGAAACGTCTACTACAATAAAGATATCCAGATGTTGCACATGTGTCTTAACTTTCATATTGTCGGGATTTATACCTTTTCTTGCACAACTTGTCAGACACTGCAACATCATGGAATCTTGGTTCAGAGGACATCTACAAGACCTTCTTCACGGCTGCTGCAACTAACCCATCTCTTTGGGAAGGACCTACTTCCACTGGGGAATCCCGCCTACCAGTGACTGCCCTCGTCTGCTGCCCGTCCCATTCACTGACGCCTATAAAAAGCGCCAGTCTTCTTGCCTTTGCTCCAGACTCTCCTCCACCACGATGCTGTGAACACTAACTCCAAGGCCGAGGGACTGATTACCTCATCTTTTGTATATAGTTCTATTATGTCCTAGAATCTGTATTGATAAAGCCACTGGATGGCGAAACGTCTACTACAATAAAGATATCCAGATGTTGCACAATGTGTCTTAACTTTCATATTGTCGGTATTTTATACCTTTCTTGCACAACTTGTCAGACACTGCAACATCATGGAATCTTGGTTCAGAGGACATCTACAAGACCTTCTTCACGGCTGCTGCAACTAACCCATCTCTTTGGGAAGGACCTACTTCCACTGGGAATCCCCTACCAGTGACTGCCCTCGTCTGCTGCCCGTCCCATTCACTGACGCCTATAAAAAGCGCCAGTCTTCTTGCCTTTGCTCCAGACTCTCCTCCACCACGATGCTGTGAACACTAACTCCAAGGCCGAGGGAACTGATTACCTCATCTTTTGTATATAGTTCTACTGTCTTCCTATTATGTCCTAGAATCTGTATTGATAAAGCCACTGGATGGCAAAACGTCTACTACAATAAAGATATCCAGATGTTGCACATGTGTCTTAACTTTCATACAACTTTTATACTCCTGTCACCATCTTACTAGCATATTAAACCAAGTCATTCCCTTTTTTTATTTTTTATCTTTTTTTTTTATTTTTTTGCTACCTTAACTTGTGTATTTTTTTTCCTGTCAATTTAAATCATTTATACTCAATTCTTGTAAACAACTTTAAAAGACCTTAGTGCAATTACAATTGAGAGCCCTTGTGCCTTTTTAATTTTTAGATTAAACTCATTGTCTATACTCATTCAGCTCAATACTACAAACCCAAAATTCATTATATTGACCTAGGAAATTTACAGTGAAGTTTGGGGTGCATTTTTTAATTGTTTTTTATATTTTTAAATTTAAACCTATTGTACTATAGGCTTTTCTAGCCAAAACATAGACTCCACAAAATCCTTATTTTAAACCCCTTATTGAAATTACAATGGAGATCTTGTTCATTTTTAATTTGTATTTTTATATTACTAGTTTAAACCTATTGATTTTATTTTCTTCCAGCACAACACATAGACAACATCAATTTCTTTATGTGTAGTAATGACATACTCATATGCCCAAAATACTCTACTATATACTTGTCCAAATTTTCCCACCACTACAGATATCAGTACTAGAACTAAACACACAACTCGGGATATAAATAACCATAATTTAAACCTAGAAATGATTGATCACGTTGACCCTGATCTAAACCTCCATAATCTGGCACCCAATAAAAACCTTTTGGAAATAAAACTGCCTTTACTACCCATCACAACCAGACTATCCTTAACAAGCAAATTTCTGTCATACTTAACTACAAATCAGGTCCTTAAGCAAACATTATGTGACCCCCGGCACTCCTTGAATCACAAAACCCCTTTCTCCTGCTTTATTTTACTGAGACCGGGCTTAACGGACAAAATAATACTACCCCTACCGGGATACACAGAAATTCACAACTCAGACCAAACCAATTTGGGGGGGGTATTGCAACTATTACTCAAAACCAATTATCTTGTTTTAGCACCACTTTTTTAGTGAAAATATGGGGAATACATTTTTCAAATTTTGCTGTAAAAAACCTTAAAGACACCTAAACAACGGTCCTTTTCCCCAGTCCCTCACACAAACACCCAAATTTCATGAAAATAAATCACAATAACAAAAGACAAATGAATAAGCACCACCTTCTTTTAGCGGGAACTTAAACAAAAACCTTTGGCTACAGTGATCAGCCTGTAACTGATTTCATAAACCAATATGAACAACACACTTCCCCATACCAACAATAACAAACCAACCAGGTCACGAGACAAGTGCAACCATAATATACCACATATGCCCTTAATACAGCCCCCCCTTAAATCAGGGATAACACGAAAAACCAAACGCCCACACCCTACTTCCCCTGAAAAACTTTAAACCACCATTTGAATACAACAAATCCATTAACTCCATGACGAGCCTCAAAAAGGGGAAGTTCACACTGACCAGAGACTTTTTGATTTCCCTACAGAATTCTCCCAAGGCCAATGGTATTGATGACGGACGACATTTTTTTAAACAAATTATTAACTAACAACAAACAAGTCCATAAAAACAAACAGATACAAACAAACGCTTGGTTGCCCATAGCTAACCAGCACCTTTCAAAAATCCATTGACAAAAACACCAAATATAAGACAATATGACAGGGCTTAATACACAAAGATATTCTTAAACACTATTCCTTTTCTCACCAAAGTAATAAAAACCCAAACAACTATACACTCCAGTAATTCACAGACACATAGGGGAGATAAAAAAAAGCCCCGGAAAACACTCTCAGATTCAAGGGACCACAAACTGAAAAAAACCAAGAATAGCCCCTAACTAAACCTAATGAAAACACCACTACATCCCACTGACACAGCAAACAAAAAAACGACTTTTCTCAACCATGATATTCTCGCCAAAAAACCCCACTACCAATGTCCATGCCGGGGCCCTACCTAAGGGGAATTTTCCCAAATTCCTTCAACTTGCTCCAACGAGCCCTCGGGAAATCACCGAATTATAAAGCACTTAAAAAAACTCGGGGAACTGCTCATGTCCCCCCATTACTGTACAACAGCGCCCAGTCCTTTCGCATCAATTTTTTTACTTTTTTAAAAATCACTAGAAACTCCCCTTCCCCCAAACTACTCAAGATGGCAAGGGTTACACCAAAACATAAAGGTGGTGACCCTAAAAAACTTAAAAAACTATAACCAAACAACTTTTCCTTGCTATCCAAAAACTTTGAGAAACTCGGCCAGGAGACTAATTCATTTATAACGGCACAAAAAAAAACTCAAACCCCCGCCAAATTTTGGGTTTAGGAAAAAAAAAAGCACAATATGCAACATAAAAATGCAAGATCGCTTTACACAGCATTGGGAAAAAAAGGAATATCACTGGAATTTTTATTTACCTAAAAAAGCTTTTGACACAGAGAAAACCAAAGACATCCTACTCCCCAAACTTTACCCTACGGTATAAAGGCCCCGCCTTGCTTTTTCAAATCTTACCTTTCAATAGGTATCAGTATGTCACCATTAAAACACAGCATAAAAACACGGGCCCCTTGAACTG